AATATGATATACATTATCCAAGAACAAAAAAATCAAAAAGACTAATGCTTCTAAAACACAACAATAAAACAAAAAAGAGCACAATAGTAAAGAAAAAAAAGAATTTAAAAAACAGATTTTATGAAGACATTTATGCATTAAGATAGGCATCTAAAGATATAAGTAACTTTATTTAGTTTACTAAAAACAGATCAAAGAACCTAGAACAAAAGAAGGTACTAAAACAAAAACAAAAACAAAATGAATAACTTAAATAAAAAAATAGTTTAACAGTAATGTTAACAATTTGAGACTTATCAAAAAATGCAAAATATAAAAAAGTTATATATTGTCTAAGTTTCTATAAAAAAACAAGAATACTTGAATAATAAACTTTAAAAAAAAACAAAAGCTATATTAGTACAAATTACAGATTGGAACTAGCAAAGACTAAACTTTCTAGTATTAAGCTAGTTAATATATTTTAAAAAAGAATCAATGTATAGAATTATATCAGGAAAATTTAATTTCAAAACATTAAAAAAAAAAAATATATATATATGACAGTATTATAAGATATTTTAAAATTAGCATTAGAGTTAATCTTGTTAAAACAACTAAGACTTTTAGAAGCCAAGGCATTATTTATATTAAACAATAGTAATGATAACAAAAGAAGTATAGTCTTTGCATACTTTAAATCAAAAAAAGATTGCCAAAAGGTAAAAGAAAAAAATGGATTTTATTATTATAACAAGTTATCTTAATATAAAGAAAAACAAACATTAAAAAAAAAGAAGTAGAGCCAAATAAATCAAACCAAGAAAATATAGAAGAGTATTATAATAAAAAACAAAAAAGAAAACTAAGTTTTTTTCAAGATATCTATAACTTTAGAAATAAGAAGCCAAAGGTGATTAACTCTAAAATAAATAAAAAAAAGAAAGAAAAACAAAAAGAAAAAACAAGAAGCAGTACAAAACAAAAAGAAGAAATGTCAATTATGTAACAAATTAAAGAATATCAAAACATATTGCAAGAAATATTAAAAAAAGCTTAACAGTTTAGACAATAGGTAAGTAAATCCTGTTTATAGCTTCTAAAAAGCATTTCAATTAAATCAAAAAACCTAAGTACAAAGAGAATAAATGTTTCAGAAATATTAGAAAATAATAAAAAAGATCTCACTGATCAAAAATTAATATACAAAGAAACATCACTAATAGAGTCAATTAGAAAAAGCAATTTGAAACTGAACATTATATATTATAATATTAATGTAATAAAAAGTAATAACTACAAAATAGAATTAATATATGAATTAATTTTAGATAATAAGATTAATATACTAGGTCTGATAGAAACAAATATTAGCAAGTGTAGTGACCTAGTGAAGTAGTTAGGTTGTCAACTCCCAAGTGGCAGGTCCAGAGTTCAAATTCCAGTATCAATAGAAAATTTGAAAATTCTTCATATGTTATGGTTAACTGTCTCTCGCAATTAGTTGGAATAAGACACCTGTAATCTATATCACACCAGCATAATTGGCAGGTCACATGGCATTTGTGTAACAGTTATATGACATTGTCCTTTGGGACAAGGTCTGTGGTTACACAAAAGAATGCAAACCAGTACTGGGTAGTGCAAACCTACAATAAGTCCTTGTAGCTATGTAAATCATAGAAACCAATAGAAAAAAGATGGAAGCCTACTTGGAAGACCTAAGTAGAAAAGTAACCTGAGCTTTTGATGGTACTACTGTAAAGACTAGACTTATGAAATGGAACTGGAACTTGTGAAACTGGGCAAATGTACTGGTCTTTAAGGAAGAACTGGATGAACCAACCAGGCTGCTAGAATTTTCAGGTTCTGAAGGAAACAGGTACATGCCAGCAAACATATAAACCAGAGGTATGATCTCGCTCTACCTTTTCAGGCTATATGGAATGGCAGCTTGGTAGAACTTGAATTGAATACCAAAGTAGTAAGGATATGTTGTGAAGTAAGTACCAGGGTTGAGGTGAACTCTACAAGGGCATAGTGGTTTAATGGTATGTTCTAACTGCCAGTGTTGGTTTCAGCCATAGCAATACCAGGTCAGCTGTAAGAATGGAATACAAAAGATTCTGAAAAGTTTAGTACAAGGTTAAAGGTTTCAAAAAACTACTTTAAAGACTTAGTGGTCATGGCATATTTTCACTAGCATCGGCCAGGGTCATTAGTAGGCAAAGGTAGATGGGTAGATACAGAAACAGAGTGGTTAAATAAGGAACTTACAAGTGGGTTCCAGGTATAGCAGCTAGTGTAGAACCTTTGAGTGGACTACTTAAATTAGACAATGACTAAAGTTGTATGAGTGGCTAGTTGTACACTTTCTTTATAGTTGCCCTCTGTAGTTGTAAAGCAATTATTAGCCAAATATACTATTAATAAATCCTGAGTCGCAAGTACTCACCTTAATATTTAAAAAAAAAAAAAACAAATATTAGCAAAAAAGAAAGTTTTTTTATTCTAAAAGATCTAAATAAATATAGAAGTTTCTGATTAGATTTAAATATATTAAAAAAAAGGCTCAGAGATTGGAATACTAGTAGAAGAAAGATAGAAAAGACATCTTGGGCAAATAGATAAAGTTAATGAATATATGATAGTAGCAAACTTCATATTTAAGTAACTGAAACCCATAGTTATAATAATATATATGCCATCTAACAACAAAAAGAACAGAAAAGAATCCAAAAAGTAATTATAGAAAGATATATTAAAAGAACTTACTGAACACAAATAGTAATCATAAATGACTTAAACTGCATTGTTGATCCAGAGCTAAATAAGTTTAGTATTTTAAAATAGCTGATTGGTTAGAATTTGAAAGACTTTTTTAGAATAAGAGATCCAAAAAGTAAGGAATTTTCATGAACAAATAAAGAATTTAGTACAAGAATTGACCAAATCTAAATAACAGAAGAAATTGCAAATAGACTTATTGATGCAGAAATTTAAAATATGTCTAACTGCATGAATAGTAACTATGATGCAGCAGTTATAAGATTAGAATTAAATTACATAACTGTATAGTACAGAGTGTCAAAACTTAAGAAACTAGAACAATATCGATAATTTTTTTATATAAAAAAGTAGCAAAAGAAAATTAGAAAAAATATAAAAAAAAGTTAGACAGAATGTTTAAAAATAAAAACCTAATATAAAGAATAGAAAAAAATAGATTAAAATATACAAAAAAGTCTAAAAAAAACTTAAATAAAATATAAAAAGTTATAAGTAGAAGTATATTAAAAGCAGCAAGAAAGACAATACTAAAGAAAAAAGGTTTAAATACTATTAAAAACAAAAAGAACAATAAAGCAAAAAAATTCAAGCTGCTAGAAGAATTATCACAACTAGGAAGATGAATCAGCTTAGGAAAGAAAAATGTCAAACTAGGTTTAATATTAGAAAATATAGAAAACTTCAATATTATAGCAAAATATATAAATAAGCAGCATAAAACTAATATAGAAAAAATTTTAGAGATATAAATAAAAGAAATAATCTCTGATATATATAGCTGATAAAAGATTTTATATAAAAGAAGAGTAAAGAAATAGAAAAACAAAGGCTAAAAAAAATAGAGCAAAACATCAAAAGAAGATATCAAATGATTAATAGCAAGCAAGAAAAAATATTAATGAGTCTATTAGACAAATTATTAAATAAAATAAGAATAGACAGTCTTGTTAACTTTAAAGATTTGAATAGAAAGCTGATAACAAATACATAAAAGATACTTGAAAAAACCAAAAAGCATTTCTATTAACAATTTAGAATACAAAACTTTCAAAGCTATAAGATTAGAGATAAGTGAAATAAAATATATCAGCCAAAAGAGAAAATTAATAAAATTTGGTATGAACAGCTAAATCAGGACATTACAGAAGAAGAATAACTAAAAATATTATTAGAATTTAAAAATAATACAGCTTTAGGTGTATTAGGAATCACTTATATGCTAATCAAAGCAGCTAGTAATTAGACCCAAAAAATTTTTAGAAGGCTGACAAAAATATGTATCAAAACAGAGTTAATACTCAAAAAATAGAAGATATCACTAATTTACTCAATACCAAAAAACTTAGATTAGCAATATAATTTGAACAATATAAAACTAATAGCATTACTAGTAACCTTATAAAAATGTATAACCAAAATATTTATTAAAAGATTGGCACAAATATTTTGTAAGAAAATATATTAAAAAAACCAAACTTTGCAGAGTTGCCAGACAAATCAACAGAAAAGCCAGTGCATATTATTAATACAATAATAAAAAATGCAAAAAATAATAAAAAAAAACTTTGACTAGTATTACAAAATATGAAAAAGGTCTTTGATTTAGTATCATTAGTAGCATTAAATTTGGTACTTAAAAGACTTAAAATACCAAAAATAGCAAGTATTTTCAATTTAAATTTGTTTAAAAATCGATAATTAAAAATTATTATGAATTTAGGAACAACAGAAGCCTTTAAGATTAAAGATAGCATTAAACAAGATAAAGTAATTTCATGTTTAATATGGAAAATATTTTATGACCTATTATTAGAAAAAATCTAAAGTGACTCAAGACTTGGCTATACATTGTATACTTTATATAATAATAGTATAAAGTTTATAATACAAAAAAAAAAAATAAAGCCAAGTTGTAGCAGTATATACAGATATATAATATGAGTTATATTAAATAAAAAGCAAATAAAAAAAATTATTAAAATAGTAGAAGATTTTTTTAACTTAAATGATATACAAATTAATAAAAAAAAAACCAAACTTATCTGGCAGGTACTATGTATATACTGATGGAAAAAATTCCATATTATTGCCGCAAATGTTTATTAAAATCATGTGATACATATAAATTGTAATTTTTTAAAATTCTTAATTTTAAATAAAATATATTTTATAATAAATGTTATACCCAGAGTAAATTACATATATAAAGGAACTGCTAATTGCAAATTATATTACAAATGATAGTGAAAATGGTAATGTATTTCCTGCTTATTATTAGAATCAGATGAAGATTTATGAAGTTTTTTGATATCATGAAAAGTTGGTATATAATATGGTGCCGCTTGATTAGAGACAGATTTTAAAGGAGACCGATGGCTTGATAATCTTGGAATACAGGATCTGAAGGTTGATCTTTTGTCATAATTCGATCTTGCTGGTGGTAGGATAGGTGATGAATTACTCGAATCTATAAAGTAGCAAAATGTTAAAATATGCTGTTAGTTGTAGATTAGCTATTAGAGTAATTTATACCTGAATATTCATTATATGGTTCTGGCCCATTATCAAATGTGTAGTTTTCTGCTGCTGTCATAAAAATTGAATCTAAAATAAAAAATAATCGATTTAATAAAATATTGTACTATTTAAAAGTTAAATAGTATAATAAATGTGTACCATTATAAATTTCAGGATTATTCTCAAAATTTAAATAATTTATGCTGTTACTAGGAAAATAGTTAAATTCTTCATATGGCAAATCTTCATAATTGAGTAGAATTAATAAAGCTGTATTCTGAATCTTTTGATCTTCATTTTAGTTATTGTAAGCCTTTATTCCTTCACGACTTCTATGTCCTGAGAATTCTATTCGCTCATCCTCTGGAATATTTAAATCCTTAAGTCTTTGAATTGCTGTTCGACGTAGTGAATGATTAGTAATTTTGCATCCATTGTCTAAGTTGATTTTAGTAAGATCTGCAATTTGCGACATCATAGTTCCTAATTTTTTTTCACCCATAGAACTAGTTTTGAACCAAATGCCATTTTGTAAATCTTAAGCAGTATATTAAAATAAAGTAACAATAATATTAGTATATTAATATGTGTACTAGTACTGTATATTGAATATGCATAAACATATATGTATATATATGTATATACATGCCTTTTTTAGCTCTACAGGTTTCTAAAAATAGCACATTATCAGCATTAAGAGGACGGAGAAAAATCATTTTTAAAATATCATAAACAGGTTTGAAACGATTATTTGAATTATCAAGAGTGATTGGTAATTTTTTTGCAGCTGACTTTTCATATTTGTTATGCTTCAAGGCACCATGTTGATTATTTTTTTCATATGTAAGTACAAGAAACAACCCACCATGAGGTTGACGGCTTATATAATTCACTTTTAATTTGGCTGTATCACCACCTCGCAAACCACAAAGTAGTGAAAGCCAAAAAAATACATGTCGAACTAAACTTTCATTATCATTTCCAGACATTGATTCATGGTCTAAAATTTGAAAAATTTCATCCACTATAAGTGCAGCAGACTGATCAGTTTCTCCTAATCCTTTCTTTTGAAGCTTCTTCATTTTACCATCTAAGATTCGTAAGGCCTTTCCAAATTTATAGGAATCCCATATGTTGCATGTTTAATTGTTGAATGTTTTTTTAAATATCATGCAAGAGAAGCATAACAGTTGTGAATACTTTCAGCCTTATATTCATTTCCATCTATTCATTTTAACCATGTGATAAATATGCAGAGAAAATTTTCAAGTTCGATGACTTCAGATATGCTTTCAAAAGATTTTTCATAATCGGATGCTTCTCTATATCTGTCAATTGCCCGTAACCATTTTGCTGTACATTTATCTGTATTGTGAACTCATGAAATTTTAAGAAGTTCTGCAACATCTTCATTGGTTGGTAATTTATTGTTCGCCATTGAAGTAGATATTAAGAAAGAGTTGTATCAAAACAATAATCACTTTGTCATTTATACATCTATCATTCAAGTTATCAGTATACTATTAGTCAAAAAGAGTTTATTTGAACAATAATATGGTTCTGTCAGTGCATATGTCATACCTGTCGGATAAACTAGTTATCCAGCATGATGTGTCAGAGTCATGGGTATTCAACAGGATAATAGCAACGCACGTAGCCAAAGGCCATGTGCTTTTGCTATCATCCTGTCGAATACCCATGTATTCGTCACATCATGCCAGATAACAAGAAATTATTATGATAAACATCAAAAAAGAAAAGAAAAATAAAACATTCTTTTTTGATAAAGAGTAGATTCAAAAAAAAAGTAAAAATAAGATTATATAATTTTTAGAAATCTGATTAAATTTTAAACTTAAAAAATCAACAATAAAGTCAAAAGCTAAAGAAATAGTATGAATATTTGAAAAAGTCTAAATTCAAAAAAGCTAACAATTAGCCAAATATCATATATTAACAATATATACATTATACTCAAGTTGACCTATATGTTACAAACAACAAGATTATTAAAAAACATAATAATTAATATATATACATTAATAATTGGCCTAGCAAAAAGAAAAATAAAAATCATATAATCTATAAGAAATAGCATAATGTATCACAAAAACTTGAATAATTCTAACTTATTATAAGACCAGTTACTGCTCAAGCAAATTACTAATTTACATAATCAACTCAATACAGCAGACTTAGAAGAAGCAGTAACCAATATAAGAATAAAAGATAATTTTTATTTAATAGAAGTATCTAAAAACATGTAACAAAAAAATATTCCTAAAGTAAGTACAAAGCTGTAGAAAAACAATTTGGCATGTTTAACAATACTAAGAGCAAAAGAACTTCAATTAGTTTTGAATTTTAACTATAAAAGCCTAATTTTTAATAATGAAAGCACAAGAATATATGAAATTTTAGAAAAAAATTTTTTACCAATAGTCACATATATACTAAAAGAGTTAGGTATTATGTTTGTATATCAGTTAATTAACAAAGAAAGAAACAAAATAATCATATAGCAGCAATTAAGTTTTTTAAAAAAGGCAATGCCAAAGGTAAATTAGTGAAATAGTTTAAAATTCTAAAAACAAAGATGATAGAAGAGCTAAGCTACAGAATAGTAAAGCTAGAATTTAGAATTGCAATTCAAAACAAAGAAAGAATTAAAGTGCAAGTAGATGAACTATCAGATGATGCAAAATAAAAAAAATTAGATAGTTATAAACAATACATTATCCTATAAGAAAGAAGAAGTATTAGTAGAAAAAATAGTAGCTAGAACATCTAAAATAGTACAAGTTGAACACTAGAAAGCAAGTTACCAACTAGAAAAACAAAAAACAATACTAAAAAAATGTAGAAGCTGCAGGCATAAAAACAATAGTGCTAGTAATAATTGTAAGAGAAAATACAAAAAACATGAAATCTATAAAATAATTACAAAGTACACAAATAGAAAAAATATGTAACAACTAAAAATTAATACAAATATGTTAGATTTCATTGTGCAGAAAAAAGATTACAAGGTCTCAAACTCTAAAAAAATCTTAAAAGAGATTTGTATAAAAAACAGAAACATTAAAATAATTAAGAAACAAAAAATTAGTAAAAGAATTACTAAATTACTAGTAAAAAAATATAAGCATATTAAAAAAAACAATGTTAAGCAAAAGAAGTTAATTTTTTATACAGATGGATCATTAGTAAAAGCAAAAAAAGAAAACTAAAATCCAGACTATATAGGAGCTGGTTGGGTGCAAATGAACAATAAAGAAGAGTATATAATAAATAAAGGTGCCATTGGTGCTAGAAGATGGCCTTTTTTAACAAAAACAAAGTTACTAGCTATTTGGTATATAGTTTTTATAATACCAAGCAAAAGCAAAATTAAAATATATACAAATAGTACAGCAGCTATAGCAAATATATGCAATAATACACAATATGTAATAATAAAAAAAAGAATGAAAAGAAAAAATTATAACTTAGTTTTAAGGATAGAGGGTAGTATTTTTAAATTATATATAATCTAATGGTAAATTTTTTTTATATTTAATTTTACAAAAAATTATATTAAGTAACCTAATTTTAATTTATAAAAAAATTTGTAGAGTAGATTTTTCTGATTCTGATAATAATATAATTATTAATATTGAGTAAATACTCAGTAAGATATGACTTTTTAAAGATTTAGTATAAAAATTTATAATTAAGTTAACTTATAAGGTTATGTAAATTAACCAATCAAATTCAATAATCTTGTGTAACTTTACCAAATTTTAAAGAACTCTGAAAAGCTTTGTCATATATACAAGTATATTTTTTTAAATAATACAATATTTTAAAATTTTACTATAATAGATAAATAATTTTATTTATAATATTATAAAATTTTTTTATTGATTAATTAAAAAATAAAAAAGTTTTATTAGTAGCATATATTAATTTTAGATGAAAATTTTAACATACTATATAGTTTTATATAAAAATAATTTATATTACCCTCTACCTTTAAATATAGAAGATACAATATGAACAAAAGAATTAGATTTAGAGTTAGTAAAGATAAAGAGACATAGTAACAATAAGTAAAATAACAGAACAGATAGTATAACAAAAAAAAGAGCAAATATACAAAACAAGAATAAAATTATAAAAAAACTGGTCTTAAGATTTAATGTAACACTTTTTTGAAAAGACAAACTAGTAGAAAACTCAATGCAAGACTTTGTTAAAGAAGTTCTTAATATCAAAAACAATGCAGATTGGAGTTATGCATTAGCAGTTAAAAAGTTAGAATCAGAAAGAAAGAAAAATAAGCACTGCTAGGTACTATTATGAAAAAAATTAAGAATCAAAATGAAACAAAATGAATTTAACTACAAGAAATAAAAGACTAAGTATACTCTTTAAATACATACAGAAAAAAATGTTTATACTTAAGAAATTAGTAATAAAATAACAAAACCTATATGCAGATGCAAATTATATAGTTTGTAAAGAAAAAAAGAAAAAAGATCAGGATCATTTAGCAACATGCTTCTTTTATAAAAACTACTAGGTGAAGGCATAAACATTGGCAATAACAATAGCATGGAGTATATTTCCAGAAGAGAAAAAAAGAATATTACTTAAATATAACTAAAAAAAACCAATTTGAGGCTAAACAAAAGAAGAAAGAATAAAAGTAAGAAAAAAGCTTATTAAAGATCTTTTATAAGAGAAGATAGTGAAAAGAGTACAAAATAATCTAATTTTAGTACAAAAAACAAGAAATTTTCTAATAAGTATAATAAATATTATATGGAATGAATTCTACAAAAAAAGTTGTAAAAAAAGATGCAATAAAGTATCTGAATAAAAGAAAAGTTAAGGATGCATTAGTCCTAAAAAAGACTAGTCCAGACCAGTCTTTTTAAAGGTCTTATGGTCTTATCAGTCCTGGTTTGAATCTAAATTCTGAACTGGTTTTTTGTAATATGCATATCACCCAATAAAATTGCTTTATCAGATATTACACAGATCATATGATGTTTGTTTATATCTGACAATAAGTAATTACATCATTTATGACCAATAAGATTAGTTTATTAAGGACTGTTTTTTGAGGACTATTCTTTGAGACTGTGAACAGACCAGACCAGAACCAAAAATACTATAATAATGGTCTTACTAAGACTAGAACAGACCAGACTAGACTGATGCATCTTTAAGAAAAGTTAAAAAATCAGTACAAAAAAGAAAAGAAACAAAAATAAAGTAGTAGAACAACAAAGCAAAATATTGCACAAAGTTTTATCAAAATCAAGAGATAAAAACTTAAAAAAAATAAAAGATATAAAAAAGATAAAAGAAACAAAAAATGAAAACATAAAAGATATATAAAGGAATATAGTTAGAAAATTAATTAGCAACCCTCCAAGTGGTAGGTTGGATGTTCAAATCCTATTGATGATGAAAATTTGGATAATCATCTATGTAATATTCGTATTATGGCAACTGTTACTAATGATTAGGTTAGGATATCTGTAATGGTGATCGCATTAGCATGACTAGTAGATTATGGGGCATTCATGTAACAGGTCACATGACATTGTCCTTTGGGACAAGATTGTAGTTACACGAAGGAATGCAAACCAGCAATAGGCAGTGCAAACATTAGATAAATCCTTGTGGCTGTGTAAGTCCATTGAAATTAGGTAACAAGAAGTCCATTTGGGAAGACCTGAATAGAGAGATAGCCAGATCTTCGACAGCCCTACTGTAAAGGCTAGCCTTATAAAACAGATACCAAGGTCGAAGTAGCTAGATGGGCAAAAACCTCTAAGTGGTGGGTACCACCAACCAGGCCACCAGATTGAGTTGGAGAAAAAGAATATCGGGCCAACCTGATATACCAATGGATCAGTCATAAGTCCTACTAGACTATTTGGATTGGGAGTTTGGTAAACCAGCAGAGGTATACTAAAGTATTTCAGATATGCTGTAAAGTAGATGCTAGGGTTTGTGTGAACTTTACAAGAGCATAGCGGTTTAATAGTCAGCCCTGACCACAAGTGTTGATTCTGCCATAGTGATA